AACAGTCCTACAACTCACGGGATGAGTCGCTGGATTGCAGACGACAGCATCTGCCAAGGTTCCATGTTAAAAAGCAGCATTACTATAGCTCCCTTTGTTCTTCTCTTGCTGTAGGGCAGATGTCTCACACTGTTTAGAACACCAAATAGTGGCTAACCATCAGGACTCGATAATTTGCCAAACTGATAGCTTCATTTTTATTTCTATTCTAAAATATGTTACCTCTGATTTTCTTCTTGTACCATTTTTCTATTGAAAAGCTACTCTTTTAATTTTTTTCCTTTACACAAGACTCATCAAGCTACCTGCTCTGGGCTTTGTGATTATCCCCTGAACACATTTCTTTATGAGCATAAACTTCTGGACATTATATAAGCTATTCGATTCCAGCCTTGATCTTCAAGGAAACTCTCCAGGGTGTTGTACTTGTGGTTTCTTGAGTGAACCTGCCTGGAAACTACCAACATCTGCCCACTGGAACCAAGCCTTTATCCTCAGCAGTAGTTCACAACCTTGATGGCAACAGAATCCTCTGTGCAGCTTAAACACACGGAGGTCGAACCTCAGGCCAGTTCAATTAAAATCAGAAATTCTGGGGATGGTACCCAGGCATATTAGTTCCTAACTTTCTCTGCTTTGGAGCCAGAATTGAGAATCACTACTAGAAGGTAAAAGCAGCTACTTCCAAATTTATCACATTGACTTGTCATTATTTCTTTATATGTCTGTCTACTCTACTAGACTGAGATCCCCTTGAAGACAGTATTTGGCATAGGAGATTTTCAATAACTTCATTTAAAATAAAACTCCAAACTCCGTACCACGGCTTACATGGCTTGGTGTGATCTTTTCCTGCCTGTCCACCTCACATCTCCCCTGGCTCCTGAGTTTCTTGCAAACATGCCAAATTTATTCCTACCTCCAGGCCTTTTAATTTACTGTTCCCTCAACCAGAAATACTCCTCTCCCAGTCCTTTATTCCTCTAGCACTTTCTCATCATAGAGGTCTCTGCTCTGTCCTTAGGAAGTCCTTTCCTGACTGGCCTATGTAAAATAACCACTCCCCTGGCAGTCTTTGTCATTTACCACTGTCTTATCTCCTTCATGCAACTTAACTCTAACAAAAATTAACTTTCCTACTTATTATGTACTTATTTACTGTCTGTTTCCACCCCCACCCCCACTAGATTGAAAATTCTAAGACAGTCATGACTTTGATTTCTTTGCCACCGCTTACTTACTGTGCCTAGTATGGAGTGGATCCTCAATAAATATTTTTGAATGAATGTTGACTAGGCATTTGAATGAATGAATGAATGAACGAATGAATCTGTGTTACCTCAGCAAATTGTTCAAAATTTCAGGACCTCTTGGCCTACGTTTTAGTAATATCTTTCTGATGTTACTTTCTTATCATTCTATTTCCCCTTGAATAAGTGTCAGTAAATGTACTATCCCATTTGTTAAAACCTTTGTTGATTTCAAATCATTATCTGGCTTTTTTTCTGTAACTCATTCCCCCTTTTGCCCAGATCAACTTGTGTTTCCTAAAGTCAACAATTTCTAAAGGTACCAAGAAATAGAATATGAAAATCACATGCCATCCTGCTGTAGATTATTGAGATTTGGAGGTTGATAAATTATAAGGATTATTCATTCTGCTGGATTATATTCAACCAAATCATTGGCATCTTTCAAAATGACCTTTACCTGGTTTTCTTAAAAAAGAAATATCCTAACTGCTTTAAATTTATATATTAAATATATATAAATTTATATATTAAGATTTGAGTTAAGTAAATATATCTTTATTTCCTCTCAATATATGACATTTGAAAGTTTAAATTTTTTTATCTTAAGGTCAACAGTCCTTACAGAAGAACCCATTTCTAGTTCTAAAATGAAATTTAGTGTGGGAAAGACTTAAAATGCATAAATTCACTTTACAGAGAAAAGAATCCATCTATTCCATAAACTTCAACAAAATGGCTCATATAAGAAACAGGATATAGCCAGAGTAAACATATTATCATATGATATCTAGTCCTGTTTACAACCCTGTAACATAACATTCAACTATTTTTTTTCAGTTGCTTGTATTATATTTAGATACTCTTTAATCACACACATCAACCCTGATCAAACGGTCATGGAAGGCCTTGCAAATCATGTAATGTAACTGAAATTTTACCTTAAGAGGAATACAGTGTCACTGCAGGGTTCTTAAGCAAGGAGAAATATTATCAGATTGGTTTTTTAGATATTTCACTCTGCAGGATGGAGAATGAAATGGAAGAGAACAGAGCTAAAGGCAGGGAGTCCTCAATGAGAACTACCAACCTGGAACTGGATAGTGACACTGAACGTGAGAAAAAACAGATTCAAGAGAGACTTAAAGAGGTAAAACAGAACTTAATTATTGCTGTTTATCGTTTCTTGTCCTCATCTATTTATACTTTTTGTGCATTTTACATAGGGAGAGGTGGTTCAAAGTTTATGAATTAAAGTTATTTCTCATTAAAGATTGGTGGAAGTAATATCTGGCTCCCTATTCATCCCCAAATCTTGGAGCAGTTACAGAAGCAAAGCTAAAACAGATTCACAGAATACTGATAGGGTATAGCATCATAATTTTTGACATGTAATTTCTTTTGTCCCTTTTACAATTAGTAATACAGAACTTGTACATAATACATAAGTAATGTATGACCTAAGTTGACAAAACAGCAATTAACCACTTGTTTGTCTACACTGCTAAAGGACCATGGCAGCAGCCTCCCTATGGCTCTTCTGTAAAAGATACGATGGTTTGTAACAGTCTGTAGGGCCTTTATTTTCTTTCCTGCCCACATCTGCATGTCCAAATTTGAAATATAATCCCCAGCTCACTTCAACTGCCATCTCTCCATGCAGCCATCTCAGATCCCGGAATCTGGAAATAGCAAGACTTTTCCTCTTCAGAATTCCCATATTCCTTTTATGACACTGCACATTCTACTTTGTGTAAAGGTCTTATCTCCAGGAGACTATAAGCTCCTTGTAAGCAAGGTCCTTGTCATTTCTTCTTTAATCTACCCACAGTAGTTAGCACAGTGCCTGGTGCTAACAGAAACTCCCTAAATATGTGTCAAATAAATAAATCAATAACTATTTCCAGCTGCTTGTTCCACCCCTGCCTTGTTTCACTTAGATCAATAGCAATGGAAATGCTGCCAGAGACCAAAGCCTCATGGGACCTTCTGAATTAGAGGTTCAGGGAACAAGAGTCACTGGCAACTTTGTAGAAACTATGCCAGATATTTTACTTAAAGAGACACTGCTCAACCTCGTGTCTAAACTTTGATTTATATTCTCTCTGACAACAGTCCCAATAGAATGTTTTAGTGTAAAAATTCTAACCACAAGTTTCTTTTGGAATTCGATTATCCCTGCATATCAAACCATACATAAAAAAATTGCTCAAGCTAACAATATCGCTGTGCTTGTATTAAAACCTAAGATAATATTAATAACATTAAAATAAACTTTGAGCTTCATGCTCCTCTCATAAGTATTTTTCTAAAGGAATCAATTTCTAGGGGAAAAAAAAACCCAATCATGTTCAAGTCTCAAAGGAGAAAACCTTAATTCCCTAATAAAAAGGCAATTGTTAAACATGATCAGATTCAAGACCTGGAGTTGTAGTATCTTTCAAATGTCCAAACTGCTTCAACAAGAAGCTAGCCAAAGTCCCGTCCATGTAGGCATAGAACACACTATCTTTTTAATTCCTTTCTTGTTGTTTGGAATGCTGCAATCTTTACTGTGAATACTCTGTAGGCCTGTTACTCGGTCAGCGGTGTATTTGGCTTCTGTGGTTCTAGAGAAAGGAGTTTAAGCTCCTGATGCTCAAGAATATTTGGATTTATAGCTGAATGCTTCCCAGCTGTATTAAATAACAATAACAAAATAAGGTTATTAAAAAAGAATATTTGATACTGAGGTGTACAGGGGTAAAATGAAATGAAATCTGAGATTTGCTTTAAAATATTTCAGCAAAGAGGAAAAAGGGAGACAATAGATGAAAAAAAGGACAAAATCTAGACAGTGATTTAATTTGGGTGGGTTCATTGTACCATCTCACTACATTTGTGTATGTTTGAAATTTTTTCTTTTTAAGCATTACATCAAGTTTAAATTAAAAACAGAAATCCAGACAAATAGTACCCAGAGTCTTGCATCATTCCTGAGAACCACAGGGTGTATTCCATCATGGTCCATTTCAGTGTGACTCTAGATTCATGTCCCTAAAGCTGGCTCTCAGTTTTTCTTTTATTTATTTCACGACAAAAAAAAAAAAAAAAAAATTGCTTTCAGAGAGTCAGTTGGACCTGTGGCTCAGAACACTGAAACACAGCCAGAAATTTCAGGATGGTTCTTGACTTCATATCCTCTATAAGTTTCTAGGGACACAATCTTCTTGGTATAGATATCTTGCTTTCTGCTTGTGGTAGACATGTGTTGCTTTGCTGTCTAGCATCTATCTACTTTTTCTCCTGTGATAACAATTCCTAAATTTCCATTTGAGGACCCACTCCAGCCCCATTCTCAATCCTTCAATGAAAAAGCTGATTCTATCTCTGGATTCAAGGGTTGAGTTTAAGACCAAGACTAAGTCAGAGCATCCATCCCCCCAGCCACTGATAGGTTCCTAGATGGGCACATGACCTAAATCAAGCCAATCAGGGCTAAGGAGGTTCAGGTCTTAGACTTCTGTTTGTACTATGGGGAAAGTGAACTCTCTTTCCCACTGGATCTTTTTAAATTTCTTTAAAAGATTTTATTTTTCCTTTTTGTCCCAAAGCCCCTTGGTACACAGCTGTGTATTTCCAGTTGTGGGTCCCTCCAGCCGTGGCATGCGGGATGCTGCCATGGCCCAATGAGAGGTGCCATGTCCACGCCCAGGACTCAAACTGGCGAAAGCCTGGGCCACCGAATCAGAGCGCCGGGAACCCAACCACTGGGCCATGGGGCCAGGCCCTCCCACTGGATTTGATATTGGGTTCATGTGTTTTTGTAGTTGCTTGAAGCCATCATGTATAGCCTGACAATGAATTGAACAAAGCAGAAGGTAGGCATATAGCCATTGGAGGTGAAAGGAAGACAGGTTCTAATGACACCATATGATCCCTGATGAGCTGCTCTTGAAGATTGTCCCAGGCCTTTCAGCTGTGTGATTCAATCAATTACCTGAAGAGCTCTGACACGTAGCTTAATCGCTCCCTTTGGTAATTAAGCCACACTGTATAGTCAGATAGCTTGATAGCACAGCACTCTGTAAGGTTTGTATTCCAAAGGAAGATGCATAAACTTAAAGCAGAATTCTTACCTATCAAAATACTTGAATGAGTTTTGAACATGTGGCTTCATGGCCATTAAATTCCGTAATTAATTCAACCAATATTGTATGCTTACTCTGACTATGCTAGGTGCCAATTCTAGCAAGGTCAGGGCAGCTTAGCAATGGGAAATGAATGCAACCCTTAGATGTTGCCATTTGATCAACTTACATATCTAACTCTGTTTGAATTTTTCTAACAAAAAATTTTAAGAGCATTTCAGTAACATAACTATTACTGGCCCAGCTCCCTCCTGGATGACTAGTGGTCCAAGTGACACACCAAGGATGGGGTTAGAAGAAGAGGGGTGGGCATTTGCTTAAGGCTTCCTCTGGTTCCTGAGCCTAAGAACAAGGAAGATCCCAAAATAGCTTCCAGAAAGAAAACTCAGGCCAAGCAACACAATGCTGCCAAAACAATAATTTGAGGGGAATGGGCACTGAGTGAGAAAGAAACAAAGGGGAGCCAATGGAGAAGTCAGAAGCAACTAGTTAGAACAGAAGATGAAAGAATGGAGAATCTCAGAGACTCAGATTATATCTTCAATCAACACCTGGGAAAGGGCTGTGAAGGTGCCAAGCTATTTCAGACAAATAGTAGAAAAATACTGTAGAATCATCATTATTTTTACTACATTAGTGAAAAAAAATTCACTTGTCTAAGTGAAAATCAAAGGGCATCAGGAAGAGAAAGAGAACCCACGGATTTCCTATCCTGTTACACATTTTGCTTCTTCAGGCTGTGAGATGGAAATGGTGAATTAGCAGTCAACATCCATTCCAACTACCCTCTAATGTGCATTCCAGTAGTACAGAGACCAGAAAGCTAAAAAACATCTTTCCATTCCCTTGCAGGAGGAGTTCTGGAATCAGGACCCACCAAGTAGACGCAATCACATGAGATCTGGAAGGTCCAAGGGAGGTGAGGGCAATCACCCTGCTCTCGTAGAGTTGGGGAGGGGAGATATTAGCTTTTCTGTGGCAGAGTTCCAGTGTCTAGTCACTAGCTTTGTGAGGCTATTGTGTGAGCTCTTGAATTCCACAGTTCCATGGCAGCCTCCTGATCCCCCCACCTTCCTGATCAAGCAGCAGCTAAAATTTCAGGCCAGTTCAGCGGCATTGCTCCGGGAGTTACTCCTGCAGGCCCAATATTGAGCTCAGAACTCCAATTTTATAAGGACAAATGCCCTATAGTTAAATCTCTTCTTAAAAGAGCTAGAATGGTTTCTGGTTCCCGAAACTGAACCATGAAACACTCTACTTCCTAAAGCATTACAGATTTGTGCTGATAGGCAAATTGAGCCAAAGATGAATCCCATTTACAGGGTGGTGTCATTTGGGCACAAAAGTTAGTACTTATAAAAGAAAAGGCATTGGATGTATGCAAATGAACAAAGCAACAGAACATATAAATCTCTGCAGCAGCTAATAGTAAGGTTGTGTCTTACTATCTTTGTCCCCAGACAGAAGGATTTCCATGGGGCAAACTTTCATAATGCCAAGCCATCCGTTTAGCAGCGTTAGCCAAGTTAATGAGGTCACTGGTACTCACTTGTTGTCATTTTCCCATTGTAGGCACTTAGGCCCAATGTGAAACATTAATAAATTGAATAGGTCACCAAATACAATGGTCTGGTCAAGATGGAGCTGTTTGTAAAAGGTTATGAATCAGACTAAAATCCTTTATTTGTCACAGAGGCAGGGAGGCAATACTCTTTTCTTAGACACAGATCCCTCCACACCCTTCAGATTACATATTATATAAACTCAGATTACAATATTATTAGGAAGCATTATCAACTAGAGTATGCAGATCACTACCTGTTTCTCTCATTAAGAGCAGGGCAAAGAATAATAACCATGAAATACCACCCTGGGAAAAACATGGGCTTGAAAGGAAATGAGACAGTTGAATTTGGCATCTTGTAATGGCCCCGGAGGGAAGGTGATTCGGCTAAAATTTGGTATTTACAAAGATTTGATTCAAAACCTCTACCACTTTTCAGCACTGCAAGTAGGAGGCAGAGGAGTTTGTTTTCCAATGGGGCCAGGGTGGGAGCTCTGGGTCTATCTCATGTTTAGCCTCAGGGTCTTGGATCCCACAAAGGCCTGGGAGCCCAGTACCTATGGTGCTGCCCCGGGAACTTCCAAAGTGACTCTGGCAAATTCCAAATGCAGGATCTACTTGCGAATTGCAGTGGTCTTCGAAAAACTGAAAATCAGAGAGGACCTTAGAGAAACAGAAGATTATTTTGAGTATTTATAAATAATGTTTTACATGCATTTTACACTTGGAGGAGATTATACCAATATCATTCCATTTGCACATTCACTAATTGACATGTAAACATTTTAGTCATTATGCATATGCTAATAGTACAAATAATTTGATTTATATCTTTTTTCTTAAGGTGAGTATATCCACGTTTCATTCATGAGAGTTCTAGGAAAAGAAGTGTTGTAAAAGAGAAAACAACCCAAAACTCTCCACTTTAGTCGCTGAAAGCTAATGAGGTAACCTGCATTCCTATTGCTTAGCTCCTCCAAATGTCTAGCCCCTTATTAACAACTCTGCTTTATTAAAATAGCCCTTTCACATAGCATTTCTGCAACAAGGGAGTATAGAAATCAAGCCTAAATCTATATTCTACAGCTCTGTATGTGTGCTCCCCCTAAACTATCATTACTGACCAAGTCATAAAGATTTAAGCAAGAAATTTAAAATATAAACGACACTTAGGGATAAAGAGCTTTCAAAAACAAAACAAAGGGTACATTTTACCATAAAATGCCATATGTGATTTTAAGCAGTTTAGAATATATTGTTCCACTGCGGTAAAATTAATTCTCGATATGTGTAGGTACAAAATGTATACATACACAGTACCAACATTTGAAGACACAGTGAAATTAGAATATTTTAAATACTATAAAAATTCTTTTTTTAATGAATCTTTATAAAGGAGGGAGTAGTTAAAATAAACACTAAACATTCACAATTCTATTTCAAAATATAAAATAAAAGGACATGGAGTTGGCATCACTGTTTGTCACCCACATGTATATCAGAACTTACAAGTGATTCTGCAGTTGCCACACAGTGGGGGCCTCCAGGCCTGTTAGATATGTGATTCCTGTGCTCAACAACATATCTAACTCCTGCACCCAGCAGAGCCCAGGGTCATTCTCAGGTCATAGTGGTTAAAGATGGCTGTCAATTCACTGCTTAGGCTAGGTTTCAAGTCTCCTTTATCTCTGTTATATTGATGATTCCTAGTGATAGCTTAAGAAACTAACAACACCATCCATATGCATCTTAATGGTGTGCTTTGTAGCACCAAAGTGACTGTATTAAAAGCTCAGTGTGCTGTATTTGAAAGAGTCTGTTACCCTTTGAAAGCTAAGAACTGGAACAAATATACTTTTATCTGAATAAACAGTTATGGTTCTATGCTGCCTTGCAAATTTGAAAAAGGGAGGGATATAATAAAACAAGTTGAAACTAGCTGATCCTGCCTTTTCTCAGTGCAAAAGTAATTATTATTCAGTCAAAAAATATGCAGTGAAAAAGAGTAATTGCATAAGAAGACATTATAATCCTGAGAGTATCCACCTGGTGTTTTTATTTTGATGAATACCCCTTTGGGTCCCTATGCCTGTGCAACATAATGTTTATCACAATTCTCCACGGCTAACGAGAGAGACAAGCCTTAATTGTAAATTTGCACATGCTTTATTGCCAATGCAATGGCATGAACACATTTAACAGGACTGTCATTCCATTTAATTACTCTGATTTTGACATGGACCTACCACAGATAAAATTGATGGCATGAGTTACAAGCACCATAAAAAATTACTGCTTTCTCTTCAAAGGGTGAGTATTAAGGTGTTCTTCCCTATTCTCTACAGCTGTCTGCATTAGGTGAGGAAAAAATAAAGCATGGTAATAGGATAGCCATCCTCTAATTGGTTCCTTCCCAACTGAGTTATCCTTGTGATATGACAATGATGCAGGGTCATTTTTTTAGCCTACCTGCATAAGATCTGTGACATCTAAAGAAAAATAAACAATTAAGTAGGCAAGTGGACAAAAACAGAGAAAAGACTTCTGTCAAATTAATCCTGTTAAATTTGTATTTTATTTGCTATGTCTCAGCTTTTTTTTCAGTGATCATAATGATGGTTCTCATTATACTTTTGCCTGAGATAAATGAAAAAAAGCTCAGGAGCTGGACACTAAGCTCAAGATTTGCGCAGACAAACAGGAGATATGATAGGGCTATGGTAATAGTCATTGCCCCAAATTCAAAACTGGCAGTAAGAGGAAGTCAGCAGCTCTATTGAAGTAAGAGAGCAGTGACGTGGCGCCTAGCATCCTGGCACATGTAGCCAAATGGAAAGGTGCCAATATTGGCTGGAAGAGCATAAAGCACTGGCTTTCTGTTCTACAAGTTGAGGGAAGAGCTTTAGCAGAACAACATCAATGTTTTATGTAGTCACATTAAACTGTCTGCTACTTGAGTTCATTTTCCACATTCTAGTTTATGACTCACCAAAAAAAAGAAGAAAAAAGAAGCTGGTATCCTCCTAAAATATCTCCATAAACCTCCTATCCCCGCCCATGGAAAAAAAATCTAAACTTCTAAATACATCTATAAATTGATTACCCAAATAGATGATGAATCAAAGCATCTCCTTTTTTAGCCTTTTAAAATTGAAATTGTCATTGAAAATAAGTTGATATTTATTTGGCTATTGATCAAGTAGAAATCTTCAATAAAAATATCCTGCCATGTGGTTTCATCCCAAGTTTCCTTTGTTTTTCAATTCAGAAATGGTTTTATGCTATGCCAATAGGCTGAGATATTCAGAGAATTAAATCAATAGACTATAAATTACATGTAAAAGAAAACATCGAGTCAATGCCCTGACACAACAGATTTATTATTAAAGTAGGTAACTCCATGGCAATTCACTACATTAGTTTTTATAAAGTAAGAGACAGGGAGAGATCAATGATAACTTTGGCTTACTGTTCCTTTTAATGGTTCATTTATAATAGCTACTTATTTCCAATTATTTTAGCTTGCTATAATAATGCCAAGCCAAGAAAAAAAGATAATCACCATTATGGGAATATACATTTAATTCAAGTCTGACTGACTATTCTTTAATCTGATTCATGTATTTGTTGAGTAGCCAGAAATACTCTAAATGCATAGTGATTCTTCGGTACACATAAAAACTCCATTATACAGTCTGCATTACATTGAGCACAAGAAATCTGGCAGTTTTGGGTGTACTTTCATTGGCATGTTATTAGAGGAACAACCACATTGCAAGGCCCATCCATAGCACACCAGCAAAAGTCTGCCTGGAGCTATCAACATCAAGAATAATAGCTGAGGGGCCAGCCAGGTGGCATAGTAGTTAAGTTTGTGTGCTCTGCTTTGGTGGCCCAGAGTCACAGGTTCAGATCCCAGGCATGGGATCTATACACTGCTCATCAAGCCATGCTAATGGCAGCATCCCATATACAAAGTAGAGGAAGACTGGCACGGATGTTAGCTCAGGGCCAATCTTCCCTAAGTAGACACAAAAAATAACAGCTGAATCGTAAATGGATCCTTCAGCCTCACTAGGTTTCCTGGAAATTGCTATCTATTCAAATATAAAGCATATTTTTGCTCCAGATTTGCACATGGACCCACACTCCATTTGTGGATTTTCTGCAACCACTTTGCCATTCTTTTTCTTTTTTGCTGGGAAAGATTCATCCTGAGTTAACATCTACTGCCAATTTTCCTCTCTCTTTTTTTTTTTCTCCCAAAGCCCCAGTACATAGCTGTGCATTCTAGCTGTAAGTCCGTCTAGTGCTTCCACATAAGCCGCCACCACAGCATGGCTACTGACAGATGAATGGTGTGGTTCCACACCCAGGAACCAGGCCTGGGCTGCAGAAGCAGAGCGCACCAAACTTTAACCACTAGGCCATCAGGGATGGCTTGCCACTTCACCATTCTTGAATAATTACTACCCTGATTTCAGTGGTGGTTTGATACAGGCTTCCATAGGCCTTCTGAAATGAAGAAGGAATAAACTCATCTACTTTTGATAAGGCTGAAGGAGGGGGGTCGTCACCAACCAATCCCCCAGATATTTTCTTCCTGGGGAACTGAGATTAAATAAATATTAAAGGAGAGGAGGGATGATCAAATCATGGAGAGAAGGCTCCCCCGCCCCCATCACTATTTCTTAGTGATACAGGAATGATAAATTTTAAAAATTCAGGTCTTTTTGGCAACAAAAAGTGGCAGCACCACTGCTTGCCCTTGTTGGTTGCCTTGTTACTGATCACTCTGGATTCTCCACACCTCTGAATTGCACTATTGGTGTTGCACATGCAATTTCACTCTGTTTAAAAGTAATGGTTACTAATATACAGAATATACAGAGAATTCATAAAACTCAACAACAAAAAAATAAATAACCCAATTAAAAAATGGGCAAAGGACTTGAATAGACATTTCTCCAAAGAAGATATACAAATGTCCAGTAAGTACATGAAAAGATGCCCAACATCACTAATCATCAGGGAAACGCAAATCAAAACTACAGTGAGATACCACCTCACACTCATTAGGGTGGCTACTATAAAAAAAAAAACAGAAAATAACAAGTGTTGGCAAGGATATGGAGAAATTGGAACCCTGTGCACTGTTGGTGGAAATGTAAAATGGTACAACCATTGTGGAAAACAGCATGGTGGTTCCACAAAAAATTAAAAATAGAATTACCATATAATCCAGCAACTCCACATCTGAGTATATACTCAAAAGAAGTGAAAGCAGGTTCTCAAAGAGATATTTGTGGACCCATGTTCATAGCAGCATTATTTATAATAAATAGAATTTAGAAGCAACCCAGGTGTCCAGTGATGAATGAATGGATAAGGCAAAATGTGGTATAAACATGCAATGAATATTATTCAGCCTTAAAAGGAACAAAATTCTGCAATGTACCACAACATGGATGAATCTTGAGGACATTATGCTAAGTGAAATAAGCCAGTCACAGAAAGATAAATACTGTATTATTCCACTTATATAAGATACTTAGAGTTGTCAAAATCATAGAGACAGAAGGTAGAATGCTGTTTTCCAGGAGTAGGGGAGGATGGGAATGGGGAGTGACTGTTTAATGGGTATAGACCTTCAGTTTCATGAG